AGCTCTGCCACATTCTGAACACGACTCCCCCAGGGCCCAGACTGGGTCCCACCCACCGACCTCAGACTCCAGCTTCATCAGAGCAGCGGCTTTAGTCTCGTACACTGTGCCCTGATTTCTAGAGAAATGATTCCTGGCACACACAGTGAAGTTAACCTCAAGAGAACTCTGAGGTTCACTCACAAAGTGAGGGAACAAGTGGGAAGTGACACTGTGCTTGGAAGGTCGCTCCACTGCAGTGACTCTGCGGCCACGTGGCCGAGGGCGCCCTCATGTCCTGGCCCCATGAGAACTTGGCTCTCACTCTGCCGGCCCTCAGGTGGTCCCGTTCCCCCTGGCGCGGGGCAGCCCAGTGCCAACTCCAGGCCCCACATGCCCGAGTCCACTGTCTAACCTCAGACGCTGCGCACAGGGCAGCCACCCCTCCTTGAGACTGCAGCCCCCAAGTCCAGACATGCCCGCAATAAGAGGATAGAGAACCGCCCTCCAGTGTCTACCTCATGGACAGTCACGGCGCCTGGAGTCTGCTGGGGGACAAGTTGGGGCCTGGCAGACAGGAGGGACACGTCCCCACGGCACCTCCCATCTCCCGTCCCCCAGAATGTAAAGAAGGGAACCCTCTGGAGAGACAGCCAGCACTTCATGGGGCCACCCCATCAAAGGGCTCGCCTTCCACCCACCCTCCGCCAAAACAGAAACTGAGAGAGTCAGCTTGTGGAGCAGGAGGGGTATCTCGCTTCGTTCTGGAGGACAGCAGCCCCCTGATGGCGTCTGGAGCAGAATTCTCGGGGAAGGACCCTTAGCTGCTCTGTGCCATCACCCAGACGCCAGGACACTGGCCCAGCACCAGCGTGGGCTCCGCCGCCCGCAGGCCCCTCTCAGGAAACAGGCAGGGGCAGAAGCGCTTCAGAAGCCTCCAGAGAAATCACTAAGCCTTCCTGTGCAGAGAAAGCTTTACAAATTAGGCCGCAATGAAAACAAACCTGGAATTACTCAGAAGTCACGATTTTTCAGTCTACTGAGCGGTAAGCTCTCCTCTGTACATTTCCAGGTAATAACTCATGTCTAAAATCATCAATGACATATGGTACATTTTAAAATGGCTTAAAAACAAAAGTGCAGCAAAATACCTTCAACCAACAGGTATCTTACAGTTAACTAATGCTACTGCACTCACTCACCAACAAGGAATCACTGAGTGTGGAAAAGTCACACTATACAGTGGGTGGGTGAAGAACAGAAATGAATAAAGTTTCGATCTATTGGAATCAAAGCTATTTAATTGAACATTTCCAACAAACATTTGAAAATGATAAAACGGATCAGAAATGATTCTCCAATTTGAAGGCCTGTCTCTCCTCCCTTGACTGTCCGGAGTCAAAGCCTGTGAGGGAAGACTTGACCAAAGGGTTCAGGGCTGTGGGCGATCATCCAACAACAGGAACAGCCTTGGGGGTTTTACTGTAAAGCTACTTGGCCTCAACCAACATGAGCCTCCAAAGACAATGTGATTCCAACAATCTACAATACTGGAAACATGTATGTAAGTAACTACAACATGCAACTTCTTCTTAAAAGCATTACCATAGGTTTCCAGCCCAAATCTCAGTCCACTTCCTCCTGGCCTTGTCCAACCTGAAACCATCTTGTTTGGCACAACTCTGGGGACAGGTAACAGGCGTAGACTGACATGCTAGCAGCACTAACTAGTTACCCTCAGCCTGAAGCTGCCTTCCCTGCTGCCCACAGGCCCAGGAGACACCGAACAGTGAATCCTGGGTGCTGGGTGCCCTCCCACAGTCCCAAGCCTCCTCGGGGGACCAGGATTCCTGAGGAATGGAACTGGGAGCAGGAGACCAGGGCCAACGGGGCCAGCTGCCTCAGGCAGGGTGATGGCCCACAGTGCCACGCTCAGTGAGACAGAAGACACAGGGCTGCTTCTGTGACTTCTTTAGGATATTTCTGGGAGCTAGTCGACATCAAACTTTCTCAGCATCTGACCTTTTATAGATTAAACTACATTTTCCACCGTTTCTGGTAGAGAAGGCTTTTCCGAGAGGGATTAATCCCAAGCTACCTAGGTTCTCCAAAATGTGTGTCTGTGTTTTGGCAGGAATGCATTTTCTTAAAGGAAACATTTTTCTTAGAAGTGAAGCAACACTGCGTGCTGGTGGCAAGGTGTCGCAGACCATTAACAGTGGACTGGAATGCCAGGGATGGCAAAGACTGCTCCAACGCCACAGATAAAGGACCCTGCACACACACCATACCACACCCCACCCCCTCCACACACAGCCCTTCTTCTCATCCACTCCAAAAAAGATCTACACATAAAATGTTGGATACTTCCCATCTCTTCTAATCTTTTTCCCAGCTGGGTTTATAAGGCCTCATTTTACGGAAAAAATTCTGAAAGCTACTGAAATTCACTTTTAAGCAAAGTATGAGGACGCACACAAAAGCCAAAGATATCGAGAGAGGCTTTAGAGTCTCAAGAATGCTAGAGCTGTTTATCTAGATCCCGAGAAAACATCTCATAGATGCAAGACAAGAGGAACGTGGACACATCACCACGCGGCCTGATTTTCTGTAAGACACGTGAACTCTGTGTGTGTGTGTGTGTGTGTGTGTGTGTGTGTGTGTGTGTGCATGTTTGTGTGTGTCTGGCATATTCATCACTACAGAGATGGGCTTACCAGAACACACCCATCTCCCAGGTTTCCAAGTGTCCTGATGTCATTCAGCCTGCAGACACACATAAACCTTTTTCATACACATTTTAGGTTACATTAACCACAACTGTAAAAAAATAAAAATCTTCTACCAAAATACGCATCTAGTTGAAACAGTATTAAACCATTTCATGGTTCCCAATATAAAGAGCATGACTAACACTGCAGTCTTTAAAAGATTCCTCATGTGGCAAAAAATCTCCAAAATACAGGCAAAAAAATCGGACCCAATTCAAATGTTTCAACAGATACAATGCGGCCTGATGACAGAGTAGAGACATCCCACTAGGTCATAATCGCCTGACCCACAAATCCCCTGGCTCCATACCCAGGCGCCTGCTGAATGCACAGTGCCACAAGCAGGAAACAGCCCACGGGTCTGCTCTTACCTTCCTCACACACTTCATAGTCAACAGTGGTACTGACCGAAACGACAGAGGCACCAGTGCCCTCTGAGGAACACACCGTCCTTGGGCGCTGACAGGCCCTGGAAACGAGGTGCCTCTTCCAAACAGCCTGCTCAGGAGCACAACTTTCAATCACACGAATAAATGCTGGCGTCTTTGCTTTGTTTTCTTAAACTCCCCCCAAACCAAGATGAAAAGAATGTAAAACATACATCAGAAATTGTATAACTCTAGATTTTTTTAAATCTCAATTTTTTAAATGCAGAAAAAGACATCGTAAGACTAAAGCAAAGAGGAACTAAAGAGCCTCTTGATGAAGGTGAGAGGAGAGTGAAAAAGCTGGCTTAAAACTCAACATTCAAAAAACGAAGATCATGGCATCGGGTCCCATCACTTCATGGCAAATAGATGGGGAAACAATGGAAATAGTGACAGACTTTGTTTTCTTGGGCTCCAAAATCACTGCAGATGGTGACTGCAGCCATGAAATTAAAAGACGCTTGCTCCTTGGAAGGAAAGCTGTAAGAAACCTAGACAATGTATTGAAAAGCAGAGACATTACTTTGCCAACAAAGATCTGTCTAGTCAAAGCTATGGTTTTTCCAGTAGTCATGTATGGATGTGAGAGCTGGACCATAAAGAAGGCTGACCACTGAAGAACTGATGCTTCTGAACTGTGGTGCTGGAGAAGACACTTGTGAGTCCCGTGGACAGCAAGGAGATTAAACAGCCAACCCTAAAGGAAATCAATCCTGAATATTCACTGGAAGGATTGATGTTAAAGCTGAAGTTCCAACACTTTGGCCACCTGATGCAAAGAGCCAACTCATCAGAAAAGACTGAAGACAGGAGAAGAATGGGACGACAGAAGATGAGATGGTTGGATCGCATCACCAACTCAATGGACTTGAGTTTGAGCAAGCTCCTGGAGACGGTGCAGGACAGGGAAACCTGGTGTGCTGCAGTCCATGGGGTCGCAAGGAGTTGGACACAACTGAGCAACTGAACAACAACAGTTCAACAAAATCTTAAGAATACACTCTAAGCATAAAAAATGCACCCAACTTTTTATCATCAGCCAAGTTGCCCCAACAACAAAGCACACAGTTAATAGTTGTGTCAAGTTTCTCAATGCAGATTTTATGCCACTTGGGTGGGTGGGCTGAGGTCGACGCTAGGGCTGACAGGCTAACCGCCAACCCACCAGCCTGAGCGGGAGGCTCACTTTCAGGACTTAAGGTGCGTGAATCACCCAGCAACCGTCTCCATGGGAATCTGCCAGGCCTTTCCTGGTGCTTGGGCAGGACCCTGCCTCTACAGCAAGGACACAGTCCTGCCCTTTAGCAGCTCATGTCAAGCCACACGGGGCCCAGCATGGGTGCCGAGAGATGCCGCATGCCTCCCTGCCGACCACCTCACAGCTCGTCCTCCCGATTCAGAGCAGGACACAGACAGCCCACACTGCCCTCAGGAGCGTGGTCACTTCGGGGCCTGCGTGTCTGTGTCCCAGCTCTCAAAAGCTGGCCACATCCCCTGGGGGCCCGGCCACCATGCTGTGAGGCCCCAGGCCACGTGGGGAGCCTGCATGAGGACCAAGGGATTAGGGGGACAGCCCAGCTCCAGCCCCAGGAGGAGCCCTAGACAGAGCAGGCCCCTGGGCCTTTAGACGGCCTGGGGACTCCACAGCTCTGGACAGTTCACATCAGGTGAGCTCAGTGAGGCCTTCAGTGTCTTTCTCTCAGGACCAGAAGAAAACAGCAGTGGTTGGAGTTTGGCAGAAATAAATGGGAACAAAACCTGACTTATACTGGCAGGCAGAGACTGCAAAACAAGCTGGGACCCACCACAAGTGAGCACTTACCTGCCCATCCTGTCCCACGTGGTGTATCTGCAGATTGCCCTGCAAAACGGATGAAAACAAAGGCAATCAACGACAAAGCTTCAAGACTCAAGATACAGAGGCAAGAATGTCCCCAGGCCGTTTGTGAGAACCAGCAGAACTGTTAACATCCATTCTACAAAAACACAATCCTCCATAGCCATAAAAACCTCAAAATACTTAACCTACATTTACAAATACTACTTTTTCTTAGAAAAACAAAGCAAGCCAATTAAAAAACATTGTACCTAACCCCCAACCCTGACTCCAAATGAAAATGTTATTTTCTCCTAACTTTTTACTTGGAACCAATCTTAGACTCACAAGAAGAATTTAAAGTAGCCCAGAGAGGTCCCATACTCCCCCATGAGACACCTGACACATCACGTGGCATTACTGCAACCAGAAAACATATGGAACACAATGCAATTAACCAAACCACACGGATACCAGGATCTCATCAGCTGGAAATCCATTTTCATTGGTTTAAAAAAATATTTGCTTTAAGTCTGGTAGGCTCTGTTAAACATCTCTCTACAGATATCCTCATTTTGACAAAATAATTACCTAATTTTTAAATGAACAAGGTAAGGTTTTAATAAGTGATAAGAACACTAACTGCATGCTGTAACTTATTACAAAGCAATCATTATACTATCAGCAATTGCTTCTAATTTAGTGCACCCAATTCCTAATGGAAGCAAAAAACACTAGGTTCTATGGACGAAGGATTCAGTTAAGGAAACTGGAGGAAACGTGAGTAAAATTGATAATAAAAATTGAAATTCAGAAGTACTCCAGTGAGATTTTAGCAGAAACAATATAAAACCAATGCACATTGCCTCCTCCTTTCCCCATCCTTGCAGTTTTCCTTCAAGAGCCCCCATCAAGGGAGGTGGCAAGGCAGGTGAGCTGGGGATGCCTGGCCCTCTGTGGATGTGGCTCCTCACCCGTGCCCAGTAAAAGGAAGCCCCCATGCTCCTGGGGGTGCCCCCGCTTAGCTTGCAGCCTGTTCCCCCACCCTGGCCCCCACAACCTGCTGCTCTGTGTGAGATCACAGACGCACCCTTAAGAATGTCTCTCCCGGAACCTGGGACCCAGAGGTTAGTGGGGCAATAGTCCTGAAGCAGGAAGCAAGCCCATACCTCAGCTCCACCCACACTGGGCACAAAGGTCAAGAGTCAAAGGTCAGGGTGTGGGTCCAGGGTCCTGGACAAGGTGCAGGGAACCACGCTGGTCAGAATGGACGGCCCTCAGCCCCAGCCTTTCAGCCTCTCCTTTGAGAAGAAGGTGGGCATCGGGCTGACCTTCCCAAGCCAGGCGCCCCGTGGCAGCCACCACAAACACAGAGCGCAAGCGTGCAGCCGGAAGCCCCTGCCTCCATCCTTACTATGGGCAGCGGTAAGGAGGATGCCCGTGGGGAGAGGCCAGGATGGGTGGCCAGGGCAGGGCCAGAGAAAGCTGCGGGGGCTCACAGGCCTACATGCACTCTCTCACGGGACTCCCACCCCCTCAAGGCGGGCACCAGCCCCCTGAGCAGAGGGAGCCGAGATCGGTGGGGAGAACAGTGAGGCCGCAGTCTGGGGCAACCCTCTTATGCTCCTCCCATCCCTGGGCTGGAGTGCAGGAAGGTCTGCATCTCAGATGAGACAGCGGTCCAGAGGGCAGCCCGCCAGGAGCAAAAGCCTCCGTACAGCAAATGTCCAGAAACAAACCCTGATGGCTGCAGGCACGGCCAGGGCAGGAAGGCCCGGAGGGCAGGTGGGCCTCAAGTCTGTGCCCCAGAAGTGGGCGTCAGGGGGTCCCTGATGGATGCCCGTGTCACCCGGGGCAGCCCAGTGGTCGTGCACACTGCAGAGGTCGGAGTGGAGGGGGCCTGTGGGCCCCGGGCCGGCTGGCGGACTCACCTCACTGTCCTGCGTGATCTGCACCTGCTCCCCCTGAGGCACCTGGGCGATGTGTAGGTGGCCCTGTGGGATCCGCAGAAGAGAAGACACAGGAAGCATCAGGGCAGACAAGAGACACTCGCTCCTGACTCACCCTCACAGCTCAGGACAAGAGAGTGGAGGCCGGAGCAGCCAGGGCCACAAAGCACTGTGTGAGCTACCGACCCACCCCCAAAAGGACCACTTTAAGACCGTAACACGTAACACTTTGCAGTCATTCTTAAAGGGGCAGCGAGGCCTAGGAAAACTCTGCTGAATCTTTAAACGTCACTAAACGAGCAAAGTTAAGAATGTGAAGGACACACAGAAAGAGGAGGAACCAAAATTTTCCAGAAAACTGAAAAGTTTTTGGCTTTTTTTTTTAAACTGTACTATCAACCGGGAGGGACAAGAAACTGTGGACTTTCAGGAAGGGCCCCTAGTAACCTGGGGGTGCACGAGGCCACAGCAGCATGACCAGAAAGGTGGGTGGCTGTTGTACCCATGTAGACACAGAGAACAGGTCAGTCACCTCTTTAAATCAATGACTATGTCAACAGCTGAAGTAAACATTAATAAATATTGTTCCAAAGAATAAAGACTCCATCTAAAATGTCTGCAGGTACAGGCAGACAAATTATAACTGTAAATCTTAACTTTGCTCAATGAAATGAATATCCATTATCTTATTTAAAATTCACCTTAACCAAAATGGGCCTGAAAGTAAACCACTGAAGATTTCTCTGTGGCTTTCATGTTACCACGTCTATGCAAACCCTGCATCACAGTTTTCTACTCTGGAATTCTTTCAGAGAGCTTCCTCACTAATGAGATAAGAGTCACTGCCTCTGGGACTGTCAGCCAAACAAAGAACCACTGGCTGTAGTTGCTCTGCCTCCCCCAGAAGACATGCCCCTCACAAATGCCCCCTGTGCTCTCAGGAAGCACTCCTTCTCCGGACGGTGCATGGAGTGCGGCATCTAACCAGGTGTCCAGGAGGCCGCCCTGCCACAAGAAGGCTGGGTGACGAAGCACCCCCAGGATCCCCAGGGAGTTCCTGCCCGCTCTCCTTGGCCACGGGACCCACGAAGGGTTGGGAGGGATGTCCACCTGGGCAAGCAGCGCACAGGCAGAGCCAGGCAGGCGGGGTGGGCTGGGCACCACGCGGAGGGGCACTTGTCATCCAATCCAAAGAGGCTACACGCTAAGGCCTCCAGCTTCCTCCGCTGGCCCTCAGTACAGGGTGCCTGTGCTTCTGAGCTGAGAATATACCTAGGACACATCATGGTGCCCCCAGGAAGACTGGCAGAAGTGCAAAGTTGCAGGGACCATAAGGGGTGGGTATCTGTGAGCTGCAGGAGGACTACCTTGACTGCTTCTGCTTTGATTTGGCACTGGATCCCTCCCCCAAGCTGTCAGTGGGGTCCAGAACTGCAGGGAAAGCTGGTCGTGCCCCTTACCCTCCCCTCCCCTCCCGCTCCCGGGGGCAGACTGGCGAGAAGTACGTACTACTTGGACCTGCCCGTCCTCCCCAATCTGGTGGATCTGGACCTGCTGGGCATTGGCCAGGGCGTAGTGCAGGGCCTGTGGGGGTGGCTGCTGCAGCTCACTGGTAGGCGGCGGCGTGCTCATCATGGTCTCTGCAGGGAGGTACACATGTGCCTGAGAGATCAGCCCAGGCTGAGCCCACCTTTGCCTTCCCCTGCCCCCACAGGGAGGAAGGGGAAGCCCTCCATCCTGGACATGGCAGCTCCTGGATGTGCAGCATCACAAGCAGCAGCTGTTCACACGGCAGAGATTTCTGACCTGTGGACAGAGATGAAGACCCGACCACCCCCAAACAGGGACGGTTCCCAGCCACCCACTGGGTATAAGTGAAGCTCCTCAGATGAAGCAACAAAAATGAAAAACAGGAAGAAAGTAGACATTAAACTGTTTAAGACCAGCCCAAAGTAGGATTGGTCCATGGATTATTTGGGAGAAAAGCCCCACTAACTCAATTAAAGGTAAACTTTTCAATAAAAGTTTTGTTGTTGCTTAGTTGCTCAGTTGTGTCCAACTCTTTGCAATACCATGGACTACAGCCTGCCAGGCTCCTCTATCCGTGAAATTCTCCAGGCAAGAAGACTAGAGTGGGTTGCCGTTTCCTTCTCCAGGGGATCTTCCTAGCCCAAGGATCAAACCCGGGTCTCCTGTATTGCAGGCAGATGCTTTACTGCTGAGCCACCAGGGAAGCCAAATAGTGTGCTTTACATGTTTAACCCAAAATGAGACACGTTTGTTTTCATGTGTACCACTTTTAATCACAATGCTATCTCAACCAGAATTTTCTTATACACTTAGAACATTAGGACTCAGAAAAAATTTTCATTATCAATGTACATAAAATATTTTTGTTGTAAAGAATGGATTAGGGGTTCCCTGATAACTCAGTTGGTAAAGAATCTGCCTGCAATGTGAGAGACCTGGGTTTGATCCCTGGGTTGTGAAGATCCCCTGGAGAAGGGAAAGGCTACCCACTCCAGTATTCTGGCCTGGAGAATTCCATGGAATGGATAGTCTCCATGGGGTTGCAAAGAGTTGGACACGACTGAGTGACTTTCACTTTCACTTCCTAAGAATGAATTACTCAAAAAACTTGAAAAGTAAAGACATATTAGAGTGAAACTCCTTGAGAAGTAGAATACGGATGTGAATGGAAGGGTGAAAAAGATATGAAACATCTGATTCTCGAAGAACAGACTTTTCATGCACTTTTGATAGCTTAACAGTGCATATCAGCCTGACATGGTATAAACTCCACTGACTACCTTTTAAAAACTTACAACATAACAGCATTAAAATGGTAACACGTGCAACACATCAGAAACCTCAAATTAAAGTTACTGAACTAACCAATCAATAGCTCCCTACAAGCATGCAACTTCGTGAAAACCAATTTAAATCCATCTTTTATAATCTATATTGATATCAAAATCCAGTGCAAAAATGGGCCTCGGTTACTTGCTTGCCATCCAAGAACAATCCAAGAGCTACAGCAAGTGACAGGAGACAAGGTTTCCTGCTGAGGGAAGATTCTACCCCCAACCTGCTCCCAGCAGAGACACATAGAAAAGGGCAGCCCCTCAAAAGCCTTGCCCCACTGGCTGGTGCTCCTCCACGTCCAGAGAGACACAAGTTCGGAGCCTGGTTCCCTGCGACCCTCACGTTCTGGGTCCTACATGGATGCTCCCCAACAAGAGCTGAAGGGAAAGCGCTGGGGGTGTTCACACAATAAAGGGCAGCCCCTTAAACTCAAGCACGTATACAAACTCACACAGTGTGGCCAGACAGGAGTGTGAAATTCAGAGGTTTTAATAAATTGATACTTTAAAAGTCGCTTGAAACTAGTGATGTGGTGGTTTGTGCTCAAACTGGCAGTACTAATCCAGCTTTAAAGAGAGCAGCCTTGGCTCAGATGCTCACAGACAGCATTTACTTGTCAGTTCCTCTTCTGTGTGCTGATAATTCAGAAGTAAACAAGACAACCCCAGCTGGAATTACTACGGAGCCCAAATTTACAGAATCCTGGATGAATGACACGTTCCTGGATTAAGTCTGTCACCAGAAGAGCCTTAGGTACCAGATTCGCTGTGTCAGGCCTCAAGTACGCAGGAAGATCAGTACAAAATCCCAGAGGCCCTTCAACCAGCCACCCTGTGCGTATCAAGTTTGAGCCAAGTAGGCAGTGTTAAGGCAGAAAAACGTCAAGTCAACAGGAAGTTACAGAAACTTTGACAAAAGAAGAACGTGTTGTTCTGTGTTTCTCTCAAAACTCTAAGGGCTCCAGTGTCTGAGGAAGGGGCCCCCTCTGGCTCCCAGGAGACCAACCTCCCGAAAGCAGCCCGAGCCCACCCCAGAGGCACAGCGTGGAGAGCTGGGTGGACGGAGGCAGTGTGCCTTGTAGCACCAAGGAGTCTGCCTCCGAGACCCAGAGGACAGCTGACCCAGCAGGATGACATGGGGTTCCCCTGCCCCTGAGAAAGCTTCGGTCACTCTGGCCATGGAAGGTGCTACTGGACTCTGCAGACCTTCCCAGGGCCAGCCAGTGTCTATCCCAAAGGACACATCCTGAGAACCGGAGCCTGCCCAGCCTTGGCACTGACGAGCCTATTCGCCACCCAGAAGAGGACACAAGGCCAATGGCCGCACTGAGCTGCTCAAACCCAAAGCCTCTCAGGAGGAACACTGCCGTGTTTATAAACAGAGAACAAACGAACCGAAGACACGAAAGTGCCATAAACCAAATGACTATCATTCAGCTGAAGGAAACACTAGTAACTGCAAGAAAAATGTTTAAGTAAGTGAGCGAGAGTAAAGATGACAGTCGTCATCACCAGCCCCTGCTGGAGACCAAGCCTGAGCAGCAAAGGGCGCTTTGGGACCAGCCCAGCCTCCCCGCCCAGCAGGGACCCAGTCCAGGCTGGCTCAGGGCCTCATACAGGCGCTAGCCGGAAACATGGGGTTCCAAGACCGCTGCCCAGATGGCATCTGAACACCATCCCGAGGGGGGCCAGACAGCTGGCCAAGGCTAAGCTGCCGGTGGTCCTGGCCGAACCCCTCCTGCGGCTGCCGAGCCCAGGCCGCTCTGCTCCTCGGCACCCGCACAGGAGCGTCTCCAAGGGCACGAGTGGGCACGACACATGTGCCTCTGACGGCCCCAGACCACCCGCCCGGCTGCCCACAAACCTGAGGCTCCATACGAGGACGAGGACGGCGTTCTCCTGGAGAAGCTCTTGACGGCCAGGCTCTGGCCTCGCTGTTTTCGCCGCCAGGCTGTCCGACACTTGGAGTCGATACTCTGTTTGATTCGATACCAGTCAGATTCCGTGATTCCAAACTTATAGAAGAGGTGACCTGCAGAACACATCCAACAGGAGGAAGGTGAGACGCGGCCTCCCGCCCAGCTGTGGTCAGGGCGCAGTGGGAACAGAAAGCTGATGGGCAAGAGCCACCTCGGGCGGGCCTGTCGTGGGTGACGACGGCTTTTCATTCATTTAGCTTGAACTTTTTTGCTCTGATCCACTCACATCAAAGGGAGACAAGCTACGAGCTGGAGGTGAGCGTTCCCACAGGCGTCCTGGATGCCCACACTCCAACCATCCACCCTGATCTCATACACGGCCTCCTGGGTCCTGAGACTGAAACAGAAGTCAAGGATCCTGAGAGCTTTACCGAAACTCTGACCTGTCACCCCTAGCGTGCTGCCCAGCCGCCTTCTTTCCCCTTCTCACGTTTCAGCTCCAATGGGATCTAAATGATCCTCCCCTCAACCAGCCCACTTGACCCCAGAGCCCTCCCAACTGCCACCCCCTAGATATTAATATGTTTACTCCATTTCCTCCACAAACACAGGGGATCTTTGTTCTGCTCAAAGAACAGAGAACAGGCATCTCATGCCTGCCAAGAACACAGAACATCCAAGCGAGGACAGACGTATCAATGTTCGTTGACTAAACGTTTACAATTCATCTGAAGACATTCTTCTACAGCTACTTGAGTCTGAGGCTTATGGAAGTTCCCCTGCCTCCCTGTCTGCCTCCTCAGTCAGAACAGAGCTCCCTAAAGGCAGAGATCAGCCCCCTCCCTGGAGCCCTTGCACACCTAGCCTAGTGGGCATCACATCCACAGACCACTGGCCAGAGAGGCAGGGACACCAGGCTACAGCCCACCGGCGCCCTCACCGAGGCCCCCACATGACGGCAAGTTCTCCACATGCAGCACGGGTCTGAGACCCCCTCCCACGGGAGGAGACCCTGCCCTGCCAGCCCGCCCATCTCTCAGTGGACCACTTCATCTCTTCCTTGTGCTCAATGGACAGAAAGTAGCTGTCAGGAACGTGGGAATCATAAGAAATGCTTTTCACCAGGGTGACCTCCTGTCTAGCTGGTCATGAAGCTCCACTGAATAAAGAGAAAATAAGTGGATGAAATTCAGAAATTTAATAAGAAGATTAAGCTGAAAAACTTCCTGTTTTGACTACTAAGAGCACCAAGTCTGGAGTATCTGCTGAGAGATAAATTGATGCCCAAAATCTGAAATCTGCTCTATGGGGACCACACAACCTAGAAATAATCAAAACAAAGGAAGTGTCTGTTTTCTTAAGTAAACTATATTTTCTTTTGTCAAAACACCTCCTGACTTTTTGTGAACACAAGCTAAGACATTTTTAACTCTAAATAGAATGACAATCAAAATGTCTGTAATCTTGATAAAGAGTAATGGGGTTAAGGAGGGCTGGGTTTAAGGGACTGGGGAGAAGCTGAACCACAGTGGTCTCAGCCCCACACTGTCACCCTGCAGGGAAGGAATCACATGAGGGCCACGGCACCTCTGCTGGTTTCCAGGGCATCTCCAACCAGAGTCGTCCCTCTCTATTTACTGAGGGATGGCTCCATGCGAGGTATGGCTCTCAGTGCAGGGCAGACTCACAAAGTCCTGGCCAGTTATTCAATTGAGCGACAAGAGAACCCAACTACCTGCTGCAGTTACAATAGAACTCAAACAGTGACTGAGTCCAACCATCGGAACTACAATCACATAGTCACTGGGGACCGACCACTAAACACAGTTGTACATTCACAGGAAGAGCCAGCTACCGGCTACAGCCACAGAGGAGCCCAGACACAGGCGAAGAACTGATGACCACACGCACGTCCACCACCTCGTCAGGGGCCTGCTCCAACACAGATGGACCCCTGCGGACCACCCTCCGGCCCCGCGTGCCTTCCGCGCAAGGAAAACACCTTCCAAATGCCTCAACGGATTAACAAGATTATACAAACTTTCAGAACTTGTTACTAACAGAAAAGAATATATACAAGACACACGAGGGTGTACAAATAAGAAACAAACGAAAATGTTAATACTTAAAATTCGACTTTGTAAAAACCAACCTGCTGGTTCAAAACCTGGCTTACATCCTTTAAAGAAAAAATACACATTCTCATAGTTCTGCATTAACCATTTTAAAATGCTTCTAATAAAGTAATTGGCCTCCAACTAGTAAAAATAAATGGAAAAAAATAAAATAAAATGAAATGCTTCTAAGACATCTTATTACATAGTTCCTTCCAACAGTGACTCAAGACTCCGGCTCTATGGCAGATGCCCCCATGATGGCTGCCAAGAAAAACTAATGAAGGAACCAGCAGCACTGATGCCCCGTCACCAAGAGGCTTGGCTCTGCCCTGGGAACCGTACAGGGCTGGGGTAGGGCGGGGGGCACCAAAGGCTGGCGCCACAGCTGGGCTTCCTCTCACTTTGCCAAAGGTGTCCCCCATCTTTTCTGACAGCTCTGAGCAACCTCAGCTGAGTGAAAGGAGGAGAGAAGCTCCCATAACGAGTGATAAAAAGATTACTTTGAATTAACTGCTTTTCACACTTGTTGAAGCATTTTATCTCAAGTCATTTGATGCTCTTAAGAAAACCTCATGAAATAAGAACGCCACTATCCTCACTTTAGCTCCAAAGCTGAGTTATCAGCGAGGAGTGAGAACCAGCCTAAAAATTCAGGCCTTCGGCGCCCACCCATGTAGAGAAGAAATGGCCACAGACGAGCCCAGCAGCCCCTCCCCACCCCAGCACCTCAGGACTCTCCATCTCAGCGCTTGGTCTCAGCGGCAGACAAGCCAGCCCCTCAGTGGCTGGGCAGAGCCGGGGAACTGTGCAGCAGGCAAGCCCGGCCCCGCCACGGGCGCCCTGCCCCCTGGAGTGTGAGGAGAGCCCGCTCCATGGTGATCTGAGATCCAGGGCCCCGCCTGCCTCTGCTTCTCACAGGCTCCCTCCCCCTACCAGCCCACATTGACCACCACTTCCTCCCAGCCCCCAGAGAGGCGTGCTGGGCCCGGCTGGTAGGAGCCTGATCACCCAGGTTCCAGAGAACCCAGGCCCTGAGCATTGTACTGAAACGTGCCCCAAAGTTCACGTCCACGCCCAGGACCCAGAAGGTGGTGATGCTCCCTGGACACAAGGTCGCTGCAGACATGACGAATTAACTGCAGATGCAGTCACACTGGAGTACAATGGGCTCTGAGTGCAGCAGGACAGGGTCGCCAGGAGGAGAGGAGACACACTGACACACAGGATCACACGGCCATGTGACAACAGACACTGACTCGCGCTGCTACAAGCCACGATGGCCACGGGTCATAGGCTGTGAGCCTCCACCACAGACAAGACGGACTCACCCCCAGCCCTCCCAGGGAGACTGGCTCTGCTAGAACCATGGTCTCAACCTCATGGCCCCAGACACAGCCAGTCTGTCACACATCAGAGAGGCCAGTGTCAGTGGGGCTCTGGGTCCCTGTGGACCATCAGCAACACCTTCTCTGCCCCAGGCTGACTCTGGAAAACCTGACGACAGTCCTCATGGACACGTGACTCCCATCTGTGCTGCTAAATCACATCTCCCCGCGCTGGGGTCTCTCCATGTTGGCCCCCTCACAGTCGTCTTCAAAGACCTGTCAGTTCAGGGCCCCGGGGGCATACCAGTCTCATCTCTAGTCTCACGAGATCAGCCAGAAGGCTCCCGCAGTCTGAGCAGATGACTATGTGACTCACCAGTAAAGCCCTGAGAACTAGGCTACAGCGCTATCAATTCAACAGGGAAAAGGCAACTGCTCTGTCTTTAGGTCCTAAGCCTCACGACAACGTGGCAAATTTCTTTATGTTTACAGTGAAGAGCTACTCTTGCACAGAGCACATGAACTGGATAGCAGGTCATCCCAGCTTCTGGGGGCCCGTTAACCCTGTGGAAGCCTGAAGAAGCTGGCACCCCACACGTTTTTCGCTCAGTAACCTTACTCCCGTGCTCAGAGAAGTGCTTATGTTTCAAAATGCTAGTTTTTTTCCCCCTGAAAAAAACCAAGCAAGGAAAATACTTCTGATAATCAGAAAAGAGAAAAAATGTAAAGCCCAGCCTTGTCCACAGTAAGGTGGGTGTGGCTGGCAGTGGTGACAGTGGGTTCCTGACCCAGGAGGTGGCTGGCATGGCCAAAGTCAAAAGTCTGAAAAAGAAACTGCAGGGACTTCCCCGGTGGGCCAGTGGTTAAGAATCCACACTTCCACTGCAAGGGGTATGGGTTCGATTCCTGATCGAGGAACTAAAATCCCACATGCTAAGAAGTATGGCCAAAAAATTTAAAAAAAGAAAGAAATGATAAGTTTAGTGAATGTGTATGAGGCACCCGCTTCTGACCAGCTCTAACCTAGAGCTCTCTGCACAGCTCCCTGCCCGCCCTGTGGGCCCACCCTTCTCCCAGACACAGGGCACCACTACTCCTGACCAGCTCTGACCCAGAGCCGCCCCAGCCCACCGCTGACAGTGGGGGTCCCCCAGTGCCCGCCCCCAGCGGAGCCCTCCCCCGACGGGCCTGAGGCAGCACTTACACCGGATGCCGTAGATGGTCAGGGGGTCGAGCTGCTTTTTGCCGTGTTTGCCCTGGCCCGAGAGGTTGGAGACGGCCTGCACCTCACGGTGGAAGAGGTAGTCGAGCAGCGTGAGCGCCATCTTCTCAGCCGTGCGGCAGTTGGTGCTGATGTGCAGCATGTCGGAGGGGATGATGGCGCAGCGCACCCGCATCTCAGGGTTGTTCTCGTCCCCCAGCCACGTGCCATTGGGGTAGTCCTCTGGAAGACAGAGGGGTCTGGGTGAGCCCCGTGGGCCACAGTGCCCACGCCCCCAGCTTTCTCAAGGGGAGCCTGGGAGGCAAGCGTCCGGAGCTCAGCTCACTCGGGAGGACCTGCCCGCTCGGCCTCAGGGAGGCAGCCCAGGACGCTCCTGGGACAGGCAGGAACCCGCAGGCAGAAAGGGAGGTGGCGGGGCATCAGGGCAGATGGCGCCCCTTCCGCCCGGTGGGAGGCAGGAGCCCACCTGTCTGCAAGCCCAGCAGCACCCCACCAGCTCCGTCAGCGATGAGGGACGATGCTACACCCTGACCAAGGGCCGGTGTCCCCAACACGCCTCCCCCCGTCTGTCACAGTCTCCCGGGAGTTGCAGGATTGACTAAGTGTGTGAAAGGGCTTAACGCTGTCAAACAAACACCAACTTTAAAAAGCCTCATCTTTTGGCCGAAGGAAACTCCACTTAGGAACGCAAATCAAGAGCACACTCGACTCTGCTTGCACGCTGGCCGCTTTCCAAGCACTCCTTCTGATCCTCATGTGGAAGCAAGTTGAGGCACAAGGCGGTCCCTAAAAGTGCCGCACTTGGGGGCAGGGCGACAGGAGGGGAAGTCAAACCTCACAGGGGGACCCGGCTTCCTGCTAAGGGTCGGCAGGCCAGGGGCCTTTAAGTCATGTTTCAGCCAGGGTTGTCACTGTTTCAAGATTTCTCATGAGATTTACTTTGAAATGTCCTGATTTACATTCTGGCCTCTATGCACAAAAAAGGCCCCGCAAAGGGCAGCCAGCCCGCCCGGCTTTGCCACAAGCCTGGAACAGAGCACAGGCCAAGGGGCCAGCTGTCTGGGACTTGCATGCTCTGCTCTGTGAGGGTGGCCTCTCCAGGCCAGGCTCCTGAATCACGCGATTTCCTCAAACACCAGGCAAGGCTCAGCAGCCCCATCATAACGACCACATCACCCCTGGGCCAGCCAGCCACTAGAGGGGTGAGGGAGACTGGCTCCTGACTTTGGCTAAGGACAGAAAACAAATCACAAGTCTGACTTTTGGAACACAGAGTAAGAGATGAGTAAGAAGAACCACTTCTCAGGAACAGGCTGGTTTGGAGGCAAAGAGGGGAAGCCAGGAGCAGCTTTCTGCCATCAGCCACCTGTGGCATTTACCTACCCACAGAAGAAGTGGACACATGATCCAAATGTAATGCGAAGGAACTTCTAGAGGCGCTGGCTCAGGCACTGCTGGAATGCAGAAAAGGCACCAGCTCCCAGCGAGTTTATTAACTTACCTACACAGAGTGGCAACTCTATGCCCGGCACAGGGTCTAATGCTCAAGATCTAAACCTTCAGTGAACCTAGAATGACAGGCTTAACAACACCAGAGCAGAAGGACCGCCCTCCACCTGTAGCAGGGAGAGAATTGGAGGGGTCACTGAAGGAGGGTGCCCTGCAGGCCAGTGCAAGGACATCGGGCTACAGGCTTCAACTCCAACCTCTGCACCGCCAAAGACCCTGCAGTTTCTCTCAGGAACAAGTATTATGAACTCTGTGTAGCCAGCTCCTATGTTTAGACAATATTTTTAAACAAAAGTAAACACTGGACAAGAATTCAGTGTCATTTTCCAAACCATGAGTCAACATCATGTCAAAGTGACGCCACGCCTGTGCGTAGGGGAGGCAGGACAGCAGGTAGGGCAGGAGGGGGGCATTGGCAGGGGCGTCGTGACTCGGCTTCTCCATCACTGACTCCAACTGACATTCGCTTCCCTGGGGGCTGCCTGCACACATACCTCTACTTGGCTCCCCAGAGCCTGTGTGCACACCGTGTACGACCCTGCTGGACCCGCAGACCAGAGGCTGGGGAAGGGAGGGGACCAGTCCCAAAAGTCCCCAGCAAGAGGTCCTCTGGTGCCCTGGGCCAGTGCTAGGAGCGCCCACCTGTCCAAGCCCTGGATCTGGCCCTGCCGCCCCAATGGGGACGTGGAGGAGGAAGGGCCATCCTCCTTCCAGACGCCACCCATCAGGAACCACCAGGCTCCAGTGACGACGGAGAAAACTGGCCGGGGCCACACCACGCTGTCCACCCCCCACACAGACACAGGACACAGAGGGCAAGAGGCAGACACTGTCCAGCTGATCTGAGAGGGAGAAACGAGGAAGTGACCTCATCTGTTACACTGAATTCTCAGGAAAGCCAAACACCACGTCCAATGAATGAACAAGTTTACAAACCAAAACTAAGCCTCTTTTCTATGTAAACAATAATCACCCATTATGCTGCCTGATGGAAACTACCCAGGCTTCACAGATGAGCTCTGGGAACCCTGCAGCAGACGAGAGCACGGGGGGACACGGCGAGGAAGTGACGGAACGGCCAACGTGAGCGGAGGCGCGAGGCCGCAAGGACAAGTCCTCAGACCCAGGAGGGCTGTTTCCTCACCCAGCTCCCTGCTGACACGCAGCCCCAGGCCCGGAGGTGGCACATGGGCCACAGGGCAGTTCCAGAACGTTTTGGAGGATGAAAGACGTCACTTCAAGCTCCTGCAAGAGTAGACGACACAGCACCCTCCACGTTCTCTGGCCCAGATGCTCCATCCTCACCCGGGGGCACCGGTCACAGCTGTCGACACAGCCCCGTCTCACCTCTGGCCCGACATGGGGGCCGGAGCCTAGCCTAACAGTGACAATGAACCGTGCCTTTTAAATGTGAAATAAGATGGAGCACCTGCCCACATAAATATTTGAGAAATCTGCCTTTTGACAATTCAAAATGAATATATTTATTTTGCTAAAATAGCTTGGTCCAGTTTTGGCAGCTGAAACAATATATTCTAGTAGCTCTGTTTAAAAACTACCAGTTGGATTTTAAGAAAAATAAACTTGCTTTCTACTCCAATCATTTAAATCTTTAATTAAATTAACTGACACTTCTGAAAAACTTACTTGAAGAAAACCCTAACTTGAACTTTCTAACCACTCAGATACTTCAGAATACAAATATGTGTTTCGAGGCTCTATTTTAGTTCCAGGAAAATGAAGTGAAGAGAAAATGACAAAATAAAGAGAATGACTGCATTCTCAAGGGCGTCAAGTTGAAGCAGAGAAAGCAGCCACCTGTGTCCCCACCTCCCCACCTGCTGATGTGCACACATCCATGTGTATATGCACGCATACACGTGTGCACATCATGTGAATACATAGGCCCACCTCCTGAGGTGGTGATGCACACCCCCACACGTCCGCCAACACCAGGGAGATGTAACCCCAAGCCGCGCGGCTGTCCCTGGACCGAGGTGTGCGCACCCCTGCATCCCTCTTCAAGTGCAAAGCTGTTCATGTGGGGTGGACAGAATGGTATCTAACCCGCGTCCCCTGCAAGCCAGGACTTCACACGCATTACTGCAACTCAGGGACTCCGAGAAAATGCCCCACGAGGCATCATCCCGCCTCCAAAGCAAAGGGCAACGCTCAAATCCATGGACAGTGACCTGCACGCCCTGCCCACGTCTCATGCAGGATAGGAGGTCACCAGCCACTCAAGATGCCATCTCCCAACCAAACCCAGCATGTTGCCTGAACTCTCTCCAAAGATACCAGAGGCCCACCCATGGGGTCCCAGAAGCCTCTAAGTCCTGTGCAGGCAGCTGTGGTTGACGGAAAATTCCCCCAGACACCCTGGGCTCCGGTCCCCCTCAACCCTCACTGATGACCGGCTCAAATCTCTGCAGCCACGAGAGGGGACCGGGGATACACTGCAGTCTCCAGTTAAAGGATGGTAAACAAGCTGAGAGGGGGCAACCTTCACCATTCACCACAGGCTTTGGGGTGCATGGGTGCCTATGCGTGAGCTGGGGAAGGTCACGGGAGGTCAGGCCCTCAAGGCAGGCCTCTAGCCTCTCCAGGCCAGCCTCAAAGGATGCCCTGTGTCATGAGTGGGTGCTGGGCTGCACTTCTGCCAGGCTGCCCCAGATGCTTGTGAATTTCTCTGCATGTGACATGTAGGCTGTGGGGACACCAAGGGGCCTGGGAAGGGGCTAAGAGAGGTTTCCAGAACCTGCTTCGTGGGCTGCCTCCCAGCACAACCACACACTACCTTTCGTATCCTGTGCCAACCCGAGTCCTTCTGAGTGAAGGTATTACACCTTTCTTCAAGGCTCCCAAACCACCTGCTCCTCCCAGGATTCATTTCCCTGCCACACCCCTGCCCCAGCACACCCCAGGAAGGTGCACCAAATCATTTCACTGACTTGGGGCTTTGCAACATGCACAGGCTGATTTCTGACAATAATTCAGTTTTCATCAAGGTACTTCCCTACTGAAAGCAAGTTCCAAATATCTTATATGCAGGATTGGTCCAGCTCTGTAAGAATTATCACATGCATAAATAGCAAGAATTAAAACTCGTCATTAAGAATCTAATGAAATCCGTTCATTAATGAAGAGATCCCATTTTCAGTCCATGCTGGCTAGTCTGTTTCCCTAACTCAGCTCACCAGCTTTGTCTCTGAACTAAGAGACCTAAATCATTACACCCCACACACTGTCAGTACTTAACCAGACAGGGGTGAACAACGACCTCTCCCTGCCATGGGCAGGGTGGAAGGCAGGAGCTAAGCAGTAAGCCTGCTGCTCACCACCCCTCTCCCATCTAGCACTTCCCTCTGATCCAAATGGAGCCGATGCTGGGGCAGCCAGAAATGCCTAATTAAGACATGGTAAACCGCTGACACCTCCAGATCTATCATGGAACAGCACAGCATGCCAACCCATGCAGACCACGTGGGATTTCTAGGAAATAATCATTCTGAAAATCCATGGTTCTCTGCAGTGAGGCATAGAAGTACTCTGGTAAGAAGATTAGAGCACGTATCCACTGCAGCCCGGGCTCTTATCAGAAAGAAGAGGACTCCGGCCCCTCAGCACCTACAGGCTAATGCCGCTTCTCTGACAGCCGCTCCCCAGGCCTGGTGGGTCAGACCAGGGAGGATGTGGCAGGGAAAACAGCTAATCCCCCGCTCAGAGCATCTGAATCGCTCGGGATGTTGACCAGACAGCCTGCGGCAACTCCATGGACTCGTCCTCGGCTTAGCTCCTCTCCCCGTGTCCTCGTGCACAGCAGCCACTTAGGCACACACGCCGTCTCTGCTGTGTCTTCACAAACCCCAGGCCAACCGAGGACACTCAATCCGACACTCAGGATGCTGGAACTGAGGGGGACCTTCCGGAGGACACTGGGAACCTCCTACGCAGACCCCCAGAAAACCTATACTTTTTCCCTATAGATGTTAATACTAAGAAGCTCAAACTGTGATTCCTTTATGTACATTCACATCTGACTCAGTCTGCAGCTTCCCCCACTGAAATATATTTCACATTAATCATACCACATTAAGAAATAAAAGACACACACAAAAAAGAAATAAAAGACAACATCTTCTATTTTTATGATAATCCCAGACTCCCCCAAATGACCCCATGTCATGTTTGGAGCTGATGCCATTTAAACCAAACAAATCAGGTCTATAGTAAGTAACCAGATCTAGGGAGGTATTTACCCAAAACTCACATGGATGAAGAATAAGAACTTTCTCTGCAGCTGTTCCAAGTATAATTTTCATTCACTTTCCACCAGGATGAAGTCAGGAGCACCTCTCTTCCTCACATCTAATGAGTCAGAGACTAGGGCCCCTGACCCAGCAATTCCACTCCCAGGTATCAGCCCCAGAAAAATGAAAACACACACAAAACCCTGCACACAGATGTGCAGAGCAGCACTGCTCACGACACCCAGAAAGTGGGCACGGCCCCAGTGTCCATCGATGGGTGATGGACAAACAGCACATGTCTCCATGATGGGCCGTCACCCGGCCAGAAAGAAGAATGAAGCACTGGTGCACGTGACAGGAGGGCGCTACTGCTTCCCTCAAGTGAAACCTGCACGACCAGCAACCCGAGACAAGAAGCTGGGCAGAGGCGGCGGGACTGGAGGACGGGGCACGGGGTCCCGCTCTGGGGTCTCTCTGGGGAAAACACCCTGGATTTAGACAGTGGTGCTCTGCACTCTGTGAACGGACTACAGCCTGCCAGCACTCCTGCTTTAAGATGGTCGCTGTGATGGAATGGAAACCTTTTTCCTGTGCCCACTCTGACATCTCAACCCTGCAACTTCTGTTAGAGGTGAATGTTTTAAAAAGAACTTTGTTTTCAGCGTTTTAATGTGGTAACAAGTCTTTCAAACGGGACAATCTTTGTCTGTAGAAAAATCTACACTTTTAGGAAAAAATCAACAACATGGACAAAGAAGCAGAACTACCGCACCAGGCCGCTCTGGTTAACAAGCTAAAGCTTGAGACTCAGTGACATGATGCTACGTCTGCCGAGTAATCGCGTCTCTCTTTCCAGGCGCTGGCAGAAGGCCTGTTTGGGAAACACTGACTCAACCTTTGAGAGCAAGAAAGAGCTGCCAGAAGGCAGGAACTCTCTGGAGCACAAGCCAGGCCACCTCCCAGATCCAGGGCCAGGTGAGAGTGGACCCCAGACCCCATAGGAGAGAGGACGGTCCCCCTACATCACATTGGGCAGGGGCGGCACAGCCCCCGGCATGGCCTCGACCTGGACACGCAGTCCCTCTGAATGGAACCCCGACCGTCATCAGAGACACAGGACAAAGCTGTGGTCAGACAAGTGAGCCGACCACCAGATTATCAAGTCACAACTGCCCATCACTAGAACCCCATCACTAGAACCAGATTCAGTGAGTGAAACTAACTGAAAATGATTATGTAAATCAGTATTAACATGGAGAGATTTCTACCATGCAGTGGGGAGAAGCAAGTTATAGGATGGTAAATACAGCATGTGATTTGTAGAGCTCTCTGGAATGTTGATTTGCAGAGTTCTCTGGACCAGAAATGCTTCCAGTTATTCTCACTTCCTTCGTCATTTTTATATTTTATCATCTTTCAAAAGCAATAAATATATATTACTTTTCTAAACAATGGGGGAAAAAAACCTGAGCCCTGTGGGGATTTCACTCTCCATGTGGCCAGAAACTCACACATCACTGCTAGTCATCCCCTTCCGTGGTCGCCAGTGAACAGTCCATGTGTCGCTGGCCCTGCGGCTCCGGCCCGTGCTGTTCAAGGGCCACTGCACACCCGTTACCTCACGTGCGGAGAGGACGCACCTTCTGAGTTCAGGGTGATGAGGGTGACGTTGTTGCCGATGTTCTGGCTTCCTGACTGCCCGCAGTTGGAGACAGAGTCACTGGCCTCAGACCCGCTCTCCCCGTCCTCGTTGTGGCTGTCCTCCTGGCCTGGTACCTTCACCACGATGGTGTTCTGCCGACGACCGGGAACCGCGCTGCGCAGAAACAGAGACACCAGCAGCGTGGTGAGAGCAGCACGGCAGCACGCGGAGACAGTTCTGCACACACGCTCCCCCTCACGTCTCAGAGAGACGTACCCCAGCACGCACACTGCGCCACCAGCCTTTCCGCAGCTCTTTCTGCTCACGTTAACAGCAGGAAACAGTCTGCGGCTCCAAGAAACCAAAGGAAACTTGAAACGTTTAAAGGAAGTGAAATCACAACAGGCTGTGACTCGAGGCCGGACACACGACCTCCTGTCACGGAGGTGACCCTGCACAGCACTGCCGTCGGGGTCACAGAGACTTCTGGGAAAGCCTCTGCAGACTCAGATGACAGCCCCGACCTGCTCTGTCACGGGACATTGTGAACAAGACGGCCCAGGAGGACGCAGCTCTCACTCCCAACTGTCCCCCGCTAACAGAAGCTGCTTGAGTGGGCTGAAAAAGCCAGTCAAGAGCCTCTTGGGGGACCCTCTCACCACCACAAGGGACCCTGAGGCGGAGCAGTGAGACACCACCAGGAAACCAGACCACCACAGCTCCAAAACGTGCTCAAAAAAAAATTTATCTGGAGACACGTGACCCTTCGACTTCCTTCAAGAGACTGCTGCACCCGAAGAGGGGAAGCAGTGAAATGTCCCTGCTTGAGGGGGCTCCATCCCGGGGCTGGACCTCACTAAATGCTCCGGACCTGCCATGACTGCCACCCTCGCCAGGCCGGTCTCATGGGCCATCTGCTCCGTGGCCTTGGCCCCGTGTCTTCACCCACCTCCCTCGGCCAGGCTCCTGGGGCCTCAGCCACGACAAGGAAGGAGGAGGACCGCTGCAGGAGGGTCTGCGCGACTCACTGGGAAGCAGCGTGGTGGGGCCAATGCCACGGGGAGGGGGGCCCCCGCACATGAGGGGCAAAGATGCCCACCATGCACCCTCGCCTCGGCTTCAGCTGAAGCATCTCCAGAGAGAAAGGAGCGGAGAAGGCACCACCTCTAAATGCCTCCACCACTTGGCCAACGAGACGGGGCGTCCGCCAACCCGACATGCTCGGACAGACAGACAGACAGATGGGAGTGAGGTGAGAGGACAGGGCGCGCGGACCACAGTGAGCACACAGGGCCCGACGACACGGGCGCCCCGGACGCCGCCCCGTCCCCGGGGCCCGGCAGTGGTGGTGAGAGGTGGGGGTCGTGCTACTGACTTGCTAATGACATTTTCCAGGGGCTCCGGTGCCCTGCCGCTCAGGGGGTCTTCCATCTTGGCTACAACGGCGTTCTGCCGATCACTGTTGAGAATTACTGTAGTCTGGGGGACGACGCTAGGGAACAAAAGAATCACAGAGAAAAGAAGACCTTAACACGACAGCGTTCATGGTGAGAGCAGAGTCATCAACAGTCAATGCCCCTGCCCTGCTCCGAGCGGGGGAGGCCCAGCAGGGCCCCCCGACGTGCATGAGCAGCACGGGCAGAGGGCCAGCTGGGGCGGGGGGGCTTCTTAACAGAGTCTAACCCTGCTCCTTGCTGGTACCGTCAGGAGAAGTGGCTTAAGAATGTTCACATCTTTACGAAGAAGAGATGGGTGCCGCAGCTGTCACTGCACAGTCAGTACCCTGAAGCAGCAGGTCTGCATGGAAACCCACCCCAGGGAGCTCCCTTCTGAAACCGAGGCTTTCGGCCCCAGGCCAGGCGAGAGTGCCGTGTGCCAAGGGGCGAACCTCTGCAGCAGGGCCCACGGGCGACTACACAGCGCTGACCGCTGGGTTCTGCCAGGCCAGTAAAGGACCCACAGCCCAGGGCCGGAGACTGTGCTGTGATGGAAATGACGCTCCAAGAACTGTGCCCTGACAGGGGCAGTTCCTCCGGGGAGACGTGTGTTTAAACACATGGCAGGCACAGTCGTCGAGACTTCTTGCTCCTGAGACCTCCAATCCTCGGCGCTTCCGGCCACGCCTCGTGCAGGAAGAACAGGTGGTTGGGATGCACAGCTATATCACCCGGGAAGAAGTCATCCCTGGACCTCACTTCCCAAAAATCAGCGCTGGGAGGACCGTTTTTACAGGCGGAGCACTCACATACCCAAAAGCACCTGTGGGAACCCCACCCTCCATCTCAGCCACACAGTCAACACCCCAAAATCAGAGGCACAAATGGTACCATTTCCTGCCACTTGGCACAGTGACTCACAGGGCCATGGGGCATTCTCCTAACATAACAACAGTCACTGCATTCCACTCACAGCCATTATCCTCTTCTTAGTTAGTCTACTCAGCTGTCAGTGACACCGGAGGTAACCCCCCAGGCCCTGACAATCCACCCGCAGGGCAGTATGACAGGTGTCCAGGTACCGAGATGACATGTACAGGCACCTATGTGACGGCCCCAGAGACTCATGTGTCAAAACAGGAGATGGTATTTTCCCAAGCGTGTTCCCGGAAGGCTGGTGTCTCCCAGGTCCCCGCACAGAAACATCCATCCCCTCACCCCCGTGGTGTTTGAGCCCTTTCACAGGCTGACACGTGAGCCAGAAACAACAGGTTAAAACGGGTTCACACCGATGACTGGTAGAGCCACTGACTAAATGGACCTCTGCTTCCTACAGGACCTCAAGGTGGAGGAAACGCTGGTCGGAGACAGCCACTTCAAGCTAGAGCAAAGGCAGCCCAGGGGGCACCTGGCTCCTTAGGTGTGCAGGGCCCTCAGCGACTAACTCCCCAAGGCCCTCCTTCCAGAAGGTACGACGTCCTAAAGATGACCCCTGGGACAGCACCTCTGGCCGTGGTTGTTCCCTTGCACAAAGCCTCCCCTCAACCACACCAAGGAGCCCTGTCCACCCAGACGTGAGATCGCAAGTGCCCTGCGGGGTCACTCCTCACTGCCTTCCACGAAGTGTGCATGAAACCACGACTGCCGGTTTCAGCGCCCAGACAGTTGGACATAACCAATGGTGACGGACTGCTGAGGCTGCTGGCACGCATGGGAGGCGAGGAGGAGCCCTTCACCTCCCACACCCTGATCTACACAAACAAAGCTCCGAATTTAGAAATGTAAAATCTGAAGACAGAAACAGAAGCGGTGCCGAGCCCTGCTTCATTTTAAGAGACAGATTACTCACACTGGCCAGAGATTCAGTAATTAACGCACACTAAAGCCCCATCCATCTAGGGGGGTGGGAAGGTATATTCACAATACTGCATTGTTAAGAATTAGTTGTAAACTAGTAGTAATTTGCACGGTTTTCCTCAACTGTGTACTAATAGCTATAAAGAGTTCTCAATCTAGATGAGATTAAAAAAAAAAAACTCTTCAGGCCTTATGGTTACAATAAATACATTTTTCAGCTTCAAGTTCCATCTGTATTTCTGTTACTAAGGCGTGTAATAACCTGGTTCACAGGATAAAATTTTGTGGAGAAAATGAAATGGGAATCAAAGTCCAAAAACGCAAAGGGGGCAACGTAAAATTTGACTGTCTAAAGCTTATTCACGGGATTTTTTTTTTAAGGATGACTGTACTTGTATTATAATGGAAACACTTAAGAAAGCAATGAATCAGTCTGTTTTTAAACATCAGTATTAACATGCCAGACAATATACCCTTTCCGCTAATGGAGTTATGTCAACCTCAACCTGTACAAAATAATACTTCGGTTTTCAGAAACTATGCAACATCCACATGACACTAAGAAGGAGGCAGCAGTTATCCTGAGGAGCGAGTGTCACAGCATGTGAGCGTCCTGCCGAGGCAGAGTCACAGCCCCAGGGACCAAGTCAGACACAACCTGGGGGGCTACTGGGAAGGAGGGCTGCAGAGGTGATTAAAAGGCCCAGCTTGTTGGCATTAGATTAATCAAGGAACAGATCATCCTGGGTGGGCCTGCCCTGATCAGGAAGGACCTCTAAAGGAAATTTAGACTTTCCCTGGTCTTGGAGACGCCAAACAGCTCCTGCCCGCGGAGTCCCGGCTGGAGATGAACCTCCTCCCCGTCCTCCGCCCCACAGACTGACTGCACACATGCCTGGCCACCCCCAAGGCTGTCAGTCAATGCCGTGTAAGGCATAAGCCTGGGCCCGAGTGTGTGCCTGGGGCACACACGCTTGTTTAACCTTTCACCCAGACATGGGCTCTCAGGGTGGCTGCAGGCTTTAGTTATTACACATAAAGTTGCCATGGACACTTGTGTGGAGGTTCTGTGTGAACACGAGTTTCCACTTCTCTGGGCTAAGTGCCTAAGGATGTGCTTGCTGGGCCACGTGGTGAGGACAGGTTAGCTTGGTAGAACAACGCACCGCCGCCTCCCTGCAGCAGAGTGGTAGCCCCATCCACACGCCCACAGCGGCGGTGGGAGGCCCGGAGGTGCTGCACTCGCTGGCATCGGGAGGGTCCCTGGGGAGCTCTGCGGTCTCCTCGCCACGTTTTCCTGCTGGCTGACGCTGCTCAGAGGCTCTCCATGTGCTTACTCACCATCCACACCTCCTCTCTGGTGAGATGCCGGTTTCTGCTTTTTGCCTGACTGTCAAACTGGATTGGCTGGTTTTTCACTGTTGAGTTTCGAGAGTGTGGTTTACAAATAGCTTCTCCTAATTGGGGGTTTTCTCCTGTGTCTTTATCCCAAAGTGTTGAAGCTTTACATTTTACCTTGAAAGATGTAATCCACTCTGAATTAATTTTTGTTCAAGGTGAGGTTTCCACCAAGGTTCATCTCTGTCATCTTTCCTGTGGACGTCAACTGTGCCAATACCATTTATTCAAAAAGCTGTCCTTCCACCGTCAAACTGCTCGTGCAGCTTTGTCAAAATCTAGCTGGCATATTTGTGTTGGTCTAACTCTGGCCTCTCAAGCCAGTTTCATTGATCAATTTATCTATCCCTGGGTCATTCTGTTTTTAAATCTTTATGTGCTCAATTCATTCCCTCACAGTCTTAAACCATAACTACATGTTAACCTAGAACTATATGTCTGCTCTTAAAGTTCCTATTAAATGAAAACTTAACCAAAAGGGAAATGGCCAGACCCAGAGACCACCCTGATTGTTTTAATTCTAAGATTAGGCTAATTTGCAAGTTGGACATTCTCATCCAGTTTTAAGATTACACTAGTTACTAGTACTAAGTACTAGTAACTGAGTACTGAGTACTGAGTACTCTTGCCTAAGTATACTCTCATTCAGAAGTAAGGGTCATCCCACAGCATGTGACCAAGGGCTGCCACCCTGACAGAGAGTGACTGTGGGCACAGGACCCCCACTGCCCTTCAGGACAATCACACAAGGGCTGCTCCCCATGGGCAGGAGTGGCCTCACCCTCACCCTCGACGGGCAGCGGGCACTGCAACACCTTCCCTGCACTGAGAGGCCGACATCCAGTCCAAGGTCACATGGTTATTCAGTGGTAAGGTCAGGTTTGATTCCAAGTCCTTGAGCAGCAGAGACAACCTTCTTGGCCAAAGTCTGTGGAGCTGGATCTGTACCTCACAACTCCCTGAACCTCAGATTCCTGTTTTTTAACAACTTCTCTGGGTGATTCTGATGGGTGCGCAGGTTTCAAACACCACCAAGCACAACGGCCCTGGCCCTGCTGCGGCCGCCCGGGCCTCCCCCACAGCCTCTGTGCTGCGTGTATGCTCTGTTCGGTGATGTTTCCCAGCCGCCCAGCGGGATGCCCAGGACACCAGCAGTCCTGTGTGGTCGAGGAGCAGCCTCAGATCCCAGTGGTGTTCCCAGGCTCACACGGTTGGTCTGCACAGTGAAAAGAACAGAGCAGGCATCCAGAGACACAAAACCTGCGGCACAGGTCAGGACACCGTCCTCACTCACGGCAACCTGCATCCTGAGCTGGTGCCTCAGTAAGCGCGATGCTGGTTGACACTGGACACTCGCCAAATGATGAGCATTAATACTACTGATTTCTCACCTCTCGGTGAGAGGAGCAACCCTCCCTTATGATTTTTATTCCCCTTTTACTGTTGAGGAAATTGATGTTTAGAAAGGGGAGAACCTGCCGAGGTTTCACCACTTACAGGTAATGGAGCCTGGATTCACAACCGAAAATCTCTCAAGTCCTTTGCCACTTGCTGGTGGAGAAGAGAAATAATCCTATTTCAATGACTGCTACCACTCACCTTTCAGTACCAGGGATTTTAATCGCTTTATTTTGATGGATTTGAAACCAAATGTCTTCAGCTTTCAGACATGTACTGGCAAGCATTTTCCAATTACACTTAACAAAGTGGCCTCCAACTTCTTCTCGGTGTTAGGAAACTGCTTTGGGAGCAGGTCAGAAGGTCCTGAGCTGCTGTCCTAAAACAACTCATCAGTCCCACC